TATTATTCCTCCTCCTCCTCCTCCGGCAATACCAATACCACTACCACTACTACTACTACTACTACTACTACTACTACTACCACTACTACTACTACTACTACTACGACGACGACGACTACTACTACTACACTACTACTTACTACTTACTACTTGCTACTGGCTACTTGCTACTTGCTACTTGCTACTTGCTACTACTATCACTACTGCTACTACTACTACTACTACTACTACTACTACTACTACTACAACTACTAGGTAGCCCCCCAAAGATCTATGCTTTTTTACTGTTTTCAACATTTCCAACTCACAAGCAATGCTTTTTGACTTTGCAACTCTTCCCACTCACAGGCATCTCCTAGTGCTATTATTTTCAGCTACTCCCGCTCACTAGCATCTTCTCATGAACATCTTTTCACTCACGATCCGCAAAAACCAGCCATATTGAAACCCAATGCGACCCAATATTTCAATACGGCTCCGCCCCGCGGAAGGCCACATTGAAATGTTGAGCCACATTGAAATTCAATATGACGGATCCAAGATCCAAGATTGCACCGGACTCCTGGGAGGAATCTTGGTTCAATATGGCCTCAATATTTCAATATGGCTCCCCTTGTCGTATTGAACCACATTGAAATTCAATATGGCGGAACCAAGATCCAAGATCCAAGATTGCACCGGACTCTTGGGAGGAATCTTGGATCACGGACTTTGGGTACACCATAGTGAAATTCAATATGGCCGCAATATTTTAATATGGCGGATCCAAGATCCGTGATCCAAGATTTCTCCCAGGAGCCCTGTGCAATCTTGGATCTTGGATCTTTGATCCGCCAGATTGAAATTCGATGTGGCTCAATATTTCAATGTGGCCTTCCGCGGAGATTCAGAAATCCAGCCGAAACAGCTATCGCTCGAACACTATGCCTACCAGGGGTCCAGGGGTTGAGGGGTAGGGGTTTTGGGGTTTTGGCATTTAGGGGTCTGGTGGTTTGGGGCTTTTGGGGTCTAGGCGTTTTGGGTTTTTGGGCTTTGGAGGTTTAGGGGGTTTTAGGAGATTAAGGCTGTAAGGGTCAGGGCTTATAGTGGCTATTGAAGTACACCCATCGACAAATTCACAGAACTTCATGTGTCTACATGGTTGTTCATGTTCTTCATGCTGAACAACCATTAACAAACCATGAAGTTCTGTGAATTGGTCAATTGGTGTGCTTCAATAGCCACTATAAGCCCTAATCCTTAAACCCTTGGGTCCCGGCGACCCGGAGACCCCCTAAAGCCGTAAAGCCCGAAACCCCAAAACCCCGAAACGCCAAAGTGCCTAAACCCCTAACCGCCGAAATCCCGACGAAACACAAAAACCCAATGCCCTTAAAGCCTTAAACGCTGTAGGTTTTAGGTTTTAAGTTTACACAAATCAACTGTTCCTTCTCGATGTATCAAGAGACTCAAACCCCAATCCCCAAGACGAAACCCTGGTCACCAACCGATTTAACAGACTTAAATATGTTCATTAGGGGTTTAGGGGTTTAAGGGTTTAGGGCTTTAGGGGTTTAGGGGGCGTTTAAGGGTTCAGGGCTTTAGGGCTTTAGGGGGTTCAGGGTTAGGGGTTAGAGGTATAGGGCTTTAGGAAGTTGTGTTGAAGGGTTTGAAGGTTTAAGGGGCTAGCGAATAAGGGCTTTAGGTCTAGGGGTCTAGGGTCAACAAGTTGCGGCCTCCGAATTGTTGCTTGAGGCTCGTCATCAAAATCGACTTTGTCATAAAATCCATAGAGTTTTTTGTTTACAAAAATCAATCAAACAATTCTTTAAAATCATTAGAAAGACCACGATTGAAATCAATAGATTTGAAAACGTAAATTCAATAGAAGCCTCTAGCAACAAATGGACGAATCGATGAACATTCCCTCAAAATTGATAGACAAATTGGTGTGGGTTTTCTTGGTAGGCCGAAATAAAAAATCAAGCGTGTGTCCTCTGGGGAAGGCCCGGAAGCGATGGACTGGCGTGGCATACCAACACCCAGAAGCCATTGCCCGCGCACCGGTTGTTCGGTCTGGCTTCGCGTAGTTTTGAAAATGACCGCTGAAAAACGCACTCTCTGATGCACAAGAGACCCCATGAACAACTCAATGTTCAAAAGCCTAATCCCGCCCCGACCGACCGAGCTCGTGTTTGCAAGGTTAGACATGGGCTTTAATGTTTTTTGTATACGGGGTCTCTCAATGGCCCTAATATTCTTTGTGCTTTGGATGAGATCATCTGCGATGGTGAGTTCCTATTTTTAACAACCCACCCAATTTGAACCAATTAAGCCCACAGAAACGATTTGCACCTGCCATTTCGAAAAAACAGCTTTCACGAGGAGCTCGCGAAATTTAGCGGGGCTAAGTGTTGCACGGGCTAAGTGTTTTGGGCTAAGTGTTTTAGATTAGTTTTCAAGGCAGCTTTCGGGTTAACTGCTTTAGGTTAGGGGGCATTCGGGCTGACTGCTTGAGATTAGGTTTCCAGGGGGGCTTTCGGTGTGTAACGTTTGAATGTTAAGTTTAAGAAGCTGTTGTTTCGGGTTATAGTAGGTAGACTGTCGAAGACTAAACAAGCAGCAAAGAGTAAAAAATCATAGATCTCTAGAGGGGTGGTAGCTACTACTAATACCACTACTACCACCACTACTACTACTACTACTACTACTACTACTACTACTACTACTATTAAACTACAACTACTACTACTACTACTACTACTACTACTACTACTACTACTAAACTACTACTACTGATAGGCTGGAACGTTTGTGCCCGTACAGCGAGGGAAGCCTTGTCTCAAGGTTCGTGCACTAAAGCCTCTCTGTCAGCAGGAAAACGGGTGAGGCCTACGGCAAGAAGAGCGGCTCTCGAAAGAAGCAGCTTGAAGACACAGTCCTCTACTGCTGCTACTGCCAATGCTAGTGCTGATGATGCTGCTACTTCTACTGCTACCTTCTTCTCGTGGTGCCATGTTTTGCCGTTGCTACGCCGCCTGCAAACACTTCAATCACGGCTGGACTGACTACTGACTGGCCAAGGCCATCCACCAAATCACTTCGTTACTCACCGACCATCAATTCGTAAACCTCATTGCGACTGATTATAGTGATTTACGACAGATGCCGGAGACAGTCTGTTAGCTATCCCCGACCCACAGAAATAACAACAAATTCAGAAACCGGAACCAACTCGAGCAGGCAGCGTAGAGGTCAACGTTGAAAGATTCAGGCAAGTCATACACATACAGCTTCAAGTCCGTGAAGTCTTCACAACGCGGGAGCGGTAGATCTGACATCAAGCCCGCCAGTGCAGGTTTCAGAACGATCCCCACAATGAGTTTCAGCATGGTGGATGCTGCCACAAGACACGCCATGTACACACATGCAGCTGTGGGCAAGGCTCCGCGCTCCACTCTGTCGTTATCCCATGTTCAAAACTAAGGACTTGTCTGCTTTTGAACAAAATGGCGCTGAGGCATCACTAAGCACATTTGCCGACAAAATACACAAGCGTTCAAGCCGCAAACTACGATCAAGAGAAGTTGTTGTCAAAGAACCGCTGCGATGTGTCTGCACAGCTACCCGGAAAAAAGCTGATATACCGCTTCGATGAAAGCCTCGTGGGTTCAGAGGCTCTGCGGAACAGACACCGAAAACGCTTGTATTTTGCAGCCATGTGCATGCGGCCCTGTAGCGTGCAGCAGCCTATGCCTGGAATACCCCAAACCACATCGCCTACGCAGAGGGACACCATGTGCAGAATATGAAGTCGGGCTGTACCTCCTTCGACTTCACTCGTGTCAAACTCCATGGATCGGTCTCCCCAACTTAACTCACAAATCAAAACCCTCAAAACCAAAAAGCTGAGCGCTTGCGACTTAGCATAAGCTACCATTCGCCTGTCATCCGACATGCTTTTCTTGCTTGCGACAAGCTAAGTCAGCGGACGTCGTTCAGCAAGCGACTGTACAAAAGGAACCCAGCAGTCTCGGCATGGATAAATTTTGGACGACCGACCATCAGCAGGAGCAGGGGTGTGCTGTCAAACCGGATTGAAGGGATAGTGCAAAAGTCTGGTATTGAGGTTGCTTCGACAGTCTCAGAAAGAAGACAATTCAACGAGCAGTTCCAGCGCAACTCTGGCACAACTTGACTTCACTTTCACGGTGTATGTCACGTCAAGCCTCATTACCCGTCTCACGTCAAGCAGAGCCTTATAGGTAGCATTTCACTTGGTCTTTTTGATGTGTCTTCTTTGCTTCTTAGTTTCTTGTGGGACCGAGCGCAGCAGCCGCTGTTACCGAGGCCCGCAAAAAAGTGTCTGGCATCACCATGTGCCCACCTCGTCCCGCTCTGCAGCAGGCTCCGGTCACAAGGGGCTCTGCGGCCGCTGGAGCCGGGACGGGTCAGCTTCGCTGGCTTCCAGGGACTTTGCGTGTTGAGCTCCCCGCAAAACTGTTGCGGGTTTAACGCACAAAAACTGGCACCCAAAGTCCCTGCTTGCGGTCGAACCTCCACCCTGGGAGGGGCTAAATAGACTGGGTAAGCCAAATTCGTTCGAGTTAAGCCGCAGTTAAACGGTTGTCGATTTCGGCAAAAGTTGCCGAATTTGGGGGGCTGGGCCCCAGACCTTCGACGAAGGGGGGGCTTAATGAAAAATTCAATGAACGTTTCCGAGCTCCTCTGGAATGCACGATGCAAGCAACAATCAAATGCTCAAGCACAAATGCAATCA